GGGCAATAAAATAGTGGTGGCCCGCCAAAGTTAGTTCCTGAGGGGCTGCTACCACTGTAGTTACCTGTGCCTCTGCAGGCATTGGGTGATCACAGCTCTTATTGGCCAGCGATCGCTGTTCATGGCTAATAGGCACAGCGGGAAGTGGTGTACCAGGCCATGTCACTTCCCCCAGCTCCCGTTGGCTGTGAATCGTGATCCATGGCCAATGAGAGCTGAAATTGCCCAACACTTGTAGAGGTGCAGATAAATACAGAGGTGGGGGCCCACCAGGCACTAAGCCTAAGAGACTGGATCCAGCCTGCAAGCCAGTATTTGCCCACCCCTGCTTTACAGTGTGTATTCCCACATTAGAGAGAAACAGGCCCTGTGTTTGGTTTAAACTGTAATTATATTACCTCATAAATGGAAAATACTACTAAATATTAAATGAAAGTATCTGTATTAAAATGGTCACTGATGAAGAATCATCTAGTGAGTGGTCTTAATTCAGTCACTTACTTATTGGTCTAAAGAGTGTCACATATTCAGATGGTGCCCCTGAATGGAGGATTTTATATTTGGAACTATGATTTGGTGAAAGACGTGTAAAACTCATCTAGATAAATAGCTCCCTATTAACTACAAATATGGGGATCCTTAAGACTGATGATTATTCCAGCAAGAATCCAGAAGAAATTATGCTCATGATCTCCCTTTTTAATTCAGGAGAATGTAGCTTTTGGCTTGTGCTAAATCTTTCTCTTTTGGCTGGAAAACACCTCTTTATGAATAATAAACTCATCTAACTTCTTTGATCTCATGATATTTCTATAGCCTTACAGGAATCACTTGACTTGCTACTGAATTGCAGTTTTTTGCAAAAGTTACAACTTCCCAGCAGCACTAAGACATCTTTTTTATCACAAAGCCTTTGGATTCAGCATCTTGGTAATCCCCCTCACCTCCTAGAGGAATTCTTTGGTGGCATAGAGCTACTGTTGCAGAGTCTTGTTTGAGGGGAAAGGTGGTTTCCCTAGATTCCAGTGATTGCTTTGGGACTCTTGAAAGCCAGCCGTTAAAATGATATTTGTCTTCTTAGGCATAATGTGGATAAAGGATGGAGATAAAGCTCTGACTATATCTATACTTACAACTAGATTGTCACTGTTGTGATCGATGCAGCAGTGTTGATTTAGCAGGTCTGGTGAAGACCTGCTAAATCAATGGCAGAAAGGCAAGTTGGTGGGAGAACATCTGTTGTCACACCAAGGTGTAGACAGTGCTGTAAGTTGACCTAAAGTACATTGATGTCCGTTACATAATTTATATAGCTAAACTAGCATATCTTAGGTGGACCTACACTTGTAGTGTAGAATAGCCCTTAGTGTGGAACAGAACAAAACACTGTTATACAATAGCTCAGGAGAGGAAGTGAAGAAAAACCTTGTCCATAACCAGTTGAAAACAGAAGGGAAATTTGGGTGTGTGGAACAAAACCTTAATTGTAGTGTGATCAGAACGCCCTGATTAACTTTGCTTCTGCAAAACATGCCAAAACTATTTGTGCTAGAGTTTCAAAACAGCTCAGAACTATGTATTTAAATGTATGCATAAGTCAGATAACTATGCACATGTTAATTAAAAATCTTGTTTAGCAATTCGCATGTACATTTGGCAATGTGCACCTATAATAACTAAGCATAGAACTCTAAGTGTGTTTTTATTTGCAGGTCTTCCATGCTTAGATATCTGGTCCCTAATGACCACAAGTGATCAAACCTAATTTTTTTTGTCTTATCTAAATGACAGCACCTTTCTAATTGTATGTCTTAGTACTCTTTCAAATAAGAAGTGTGCCACCCACTGAATCACTAGCACCATTACTTGCTTCACCGTAATGTTCCTATTCATTTACTGACATATACAGTATTCATGGGAGAACCATATGGCAAGATGTTGATATTCACAGAAAATTCACTTGTATAATTTCATATAATGGCATCAAATTTACATAAACAGTAACATGCAGAAAAATTATGTTTTCATGATGACAGTAAGGGACACATTTTCAAAATGTCCCCTTAATTTAACATTTTTACAAGCAAATTAGGCATTTATTCATGCAGATGATGAATTTGTTTGTCTAATTATCCAGTTTGAACAAATGATGTGTTTCTTGCATACAGATGGTGATACCCATAAGAGTTTTTTGACCCATAGTAAAGTTGTGCCTAACCCTGTAGGTAGATCATAATAATACACACAATAAGCAAAAATATATTACAGCAGTCTCTTTAAGGCGCAGTGTCATTGCTGGTTTATATGTTGATTCACCTCTTTTTATTCTGTCATGTAGTAACTGTTGGATTCATAGTGGCCTATATGAAATTAGACATAAATACAAGATTTTCCTAACTTCTGTGCCATGCAGATTTGTATCCAAGACATGTTCTTGTCATCTCTGTGGGAGTCAGGCTGCCCTCAGAAATTTTGACAATCTCTCCAGAACTATGTAGTCACATGTATATAAAATAAAGTGCTAATTTCTTATTTCCCAGTTTAGTGCAGTGGCCAAATGTATTAATAAAGTCATGAGGTCTGTACTCAAATCAGTGCACAATATGATCCTGGGGACATGGCTCTGTGAGAGATGCAACTGCATAAATATGTCTTGGAAACATTAATCTTTTTCTGAAGCAGTGGCATCTGAACCATGGTTGGTGGACCAGACTGGTTTTTGGAACACTTTTTGATTGTCCGTAGAGAGTGGGCTGGTCAGCGCTCCCTCCCTCTCTCCCATTTCCAGCTCCTAAATCTGATTGTTACCACTAAAAAGACAATAACATTTTACTAATACTACTTTTTCATATAAATAATGGTTGTAGTTGACATGGGAGGTTCTGCATGATGATAGCTGGGAGTGGAGCCAGTTCAAATGATTGCTCAAGACAGGGTGTGCAATACGTGGCCTGTGGACTGGATGCGGTCGTCCAGGATTAGCTTCAAGTGGGCCACCAGTGCTTTATTTACCTGCATGTCCATAGGTATTGGCCGCGGATCGCCTTTCCTGACCAATGCAAGCAGCTGTACCTATGGATGCGTGGGTAAATAAAGTGCTGGCGGCCCACTAAAGGCTAACCCTGGCAAATTGCCTCTGACTTATTTCCCACCCCTGTCTCAAAATACATTTGTTATATACATTTGTTGAACAATAATTAGATTAACATATGCTCTGTATGTACTGTAATTGTGAATGTTTGACTGATGCATGTTTCACTGTTATGGACTGCTTGATCCTCAATTACCTCATAAGCTGTAGACTTCTTTTGAAATAAATTGTGTGATACCTCACAATCGCAGTAACATTAGTTTATAGTTTCTCTGTCTTAAGACAAAGAGCAGCAGCTGTTTCTGAATTGAAAGCTGAATGAATTCTTAGGCGGATGTACAGTGTATTTGTAGTGTGAAAGAGAACAAGATGTTCAGGTGACCATTTAAACTCTTGATTTGGAAGAGAGGTAATATTGCTCAAGGAGCTGAATTTGCTAGGGACTATATATTATTTAGGGGTTCCTTCACAAGTTAATAGTACTCCTGTGGCTTCCTATTAGAAAAGTATTGTGATATTTTAAAAATCAATTTGAAAATCCTAATTATCTGATTATAAAAAAATCTCTATCAATCTTAGGAAGGATTTTCATCTTTCAGCTATGGAAAAGAGTTTTACATACTGCTCCTATAAGGTATGTCTACACAGCAGGGCTAAAGTCAAATTACGCTATGCAACTAGAGCTACAACAATTGTGTAGCTTAAGTTGAAATAGCTTAACTCGGCTTTTGGCGCTGTCTACACAGCAGGAAGTCGAAGGAAGAACATTCTTCCTTTGACTTCCCTTACTCCTTGTAAAATGAGGGTTACCAGGAGTCTGAGTAAGAAGTCCTCAAGCTCGCCATTATTTCAAAATAAAGGCTTATAGTGTAGACATGCTATTTGTTTTTTCGGAATAAAGTCAGTTATTCTGAAATAATGCTGCTGTCTCGACATAACCATAGTGAGTAACTTGGTTTTCCAATCCATTTGCAGTATCAGAAATTCTTTTTTCTGCCTCATGGCAGGATGTTACCACTGATGAAATGCTGCTAGTGTCATGAATTATTTTCTATCTTGAAAAGCTGTTCATAGAACCTGATTCTGCAGCCTTTCCTTACATAGCTCAACTGTCAAATGACTTAGCTAGTTAGGATCATGAATGATAGGCAGGTTGTTTATTGCATATGAACTATTTTAGTTCAAGATCATAATAATCACTTTTCCCACTCTCAAAGTGAATTTTTTTGTTAGGTTTGATATTTATTTATTTGTTAATGTTTGGAAAGACTGTTGATAAACCTACTGAAGTATTGGTATCCTTTGCACCTAAATGGTATAATCTAAGGCTCCTGATCCCGCAAAGGCTTACTCACACAGTGTGTGTAACTTTCAGGATGTGATCATCCCCACTAACCTCACTGAGGCTATTCATGTGCTTCAGTTAAGCACATAAGTAAGCCTTTGTGGTAAAGGGGTCTAAAATTTTATGTCATCCAGCCCAATTCAGAATTAGGCCACAATCCTGATAAAGCTTTCATACATTCTAAACTTTACATACTGTGAGTAGTCCATCAGTTTCAGTGGGACTGTTCACAGTATGCAGAATTTAAGCAGGTACAGAAATCTTAATATACACAAGGCCTTAATAAAATATTGAAGATATAAGAATTTGAGCAAATTTCATTTTTATATAGATATCCTTTTACATTATTTTTTATTTTATATAACAACTCATTCTAGATTATGTAAAGTTATGTATTGATTGTTTAATTCATATAGGTGGTTTAGCAAATGGTTTTTGACAAATTTACATTTTTAATATGTTGCCACTTATAAAATTGCTAATGACCAACTCCTGCAAATATTGTTTTTAAAAAGAGGTTTGTTAATCCTTTACTAAAGTAGACCTTATATTTTATTATTTTAGTTGTTCATGGTGGACAATGGAGCAGATGACTGGAGAATAGCCATGACTTACGAGCGTATTTTCTTCATCTGCTTGGAAATACTGGTGTGTGCTATACATCCCATACCTGGGAATTATACATTCACATGGACAGCCCGGCTTGCCTTCTCCTATGCTCCATCTACAACAACAGCTGATGTGGATATTATTTTATCTATACCAATGTTCTTAAGACTGTATCTTATTGCCAGAGTTATGCTTTTGCATAGCAAACTTTTCACAGATGCCTCATCTAGAAGCATTGGAGCACTAAATAAGATAAACTTCAATACACGTTTTGTTATGAAGACTTTAATGACAATATGTCCGGGAACTGTACTGTTGGTTTTTAGTATCTCATTATGGATAATTGCTGCATGGACTGTCCGAGCTTGTGAAAGGTAAGTCTTTTTTCCCAGTCATATATATTTAAGAAAAATCAATTTATTACTAGTGTTGTTTTTTTTCTAATCTCTTGGATATTATCTCATTCTTTTATATTGAACAGAGTGATGTTTCCAGTACCTGGGCCATGTTAATTGCTAGTTGTATTGTGCTTTTTGTATCATGGCTTTCTGGAATGCATTGTCTCTTGATTTCAAAGGCCTTTGAAGGGATGTTTGAATTGTCAAAGATTTCTGCCTTTAGAGTTGTGATATGAGTTATTTACTTAATTCTAATGCTATCTGAGTGCTTTATTATGCATGGTCTAGAACATTAGAGATTATAGTAGAACTTAAGTGCCATAAAATTACTTTAATAATAGCCTTTAAAATTCTTCATTTAATATTAAGTCTCAGTCACTTTAGCTTATGGTTTATTACAATATTGACAATGGTGTAAATAAATCAGTAATGGGAATCTCCACTGAAAATTTGATTTAAAAACTCTGATAATTCTAGTGTTTTATAACAAAAATCAAAAAGGTGTAATCTCAATATATTCTATGGACAGAGGTTTTTTTATGTGGTTAGATTGAATGCATACCGTATTTACATTTACCAATACATAGTTTACTGTGGTAGAAACTACAAATACAACAACAGAGACAATCAGTAGAAGTTATAGTGGTTGGCACTTTCTTATGAAGTCCAAAAAAAAGTATACTTTCTAGCCTTTCGTTAACATAGGTTTAAATCTTCAGCAACCAATAGACATTGAGCAGGTACAGAACAAATCATTATCAGTACTATACACCTTACAAAAAGAAATGATCTGGGCAGTTTCAGACTAATGTGAGCTCTCGTGAGTAAGTGAGCAATAACAAGTGGAACATGAAAACATCCACTCAAGGTGCAGGAGCAGTCAAAAAAGCAAACAATGTTAAGAATCATTAAAAAAGGGATAGAGAATAAGAGAGAATATCTTATTTCCTCTGTATAAATCCATGGTACACCCACATCTTAAATAATGCATACAGATGTGATTGCCTCATCTTAAAAAAGATATATTGGCTTTGGAAAAGGTTCAGAAAAGGGCAACAAAAATGATTAGGGGATTGGAAAAAGTGCCATATGAAGAGAAATTAAAAAGACTGGGACTTCTCAACTTAGAAAAGAGGAGATTAAGATGGGATATGATAGAAATCTATACACTCATGACAGCTATGGAGAAAGTGAATGAGGAAAAGGTACAGGCAGTCCCCGAGTTACGCGGATCCGACTTATGTCGGATCCGCAGTTATGAACGGGGCTTTTCTCGCCCCTGAGAACGCGGGCAGCGGGACCGCCCAGAGTGCAGCAGTCCCGCCGCTGCGTCCTCCGGGGCGAGAAAAGCTGCTCCGGGTCTCCCTGCTGTGCTGGGGGGAACTCCCCCCCAGCACAGCAGGGAGACGGGAGCAAAGCCGCAGAGGCGGCGGGACCTCTGCGGCTTTGCTCGGGTCTCCCTGGTCTGCTGGGGGGGGAGGGGACGCAGCTAGTGCACCCCTTACCTGCCCCCCCCCAGCAGACCAGTCTTTTGTTGCGGGACGCCTCGGGTAGAGCAGCTGGGGTGCTGCCGGGTTGGTCTTGTGGGAACCTTCTGGGCAGCGCCCCAGCTGTTCTGTC